AGGCTGCATACCCCTCTAAGTGAGACAATGGCAGTCAATGCATTAAAGAGCACAGAGCTGACTCCCTGTGGGTGCATCAATGTCTGTTTTATGGAATTCATGTAAGACAAGGAAGATGACAAAAACCAATGTTTTGCTTATCCATCATTGGACAGTCTTCCCTTTTATTAAGCAGTATTCTTTGATTAGTGTGACAATTTGCTAGTTTTCCTCACTACCTAACGAGAGGTGCATTCAGACTAAGAAAAAAATGCCTTCGTCTTAATAAAGTTACACATTCATTAGCTTTTGATGAATGCCTGCAATCCCTCTCCCCTCCCCAATTATCTCCTTCAAGTACCTCCAGGCTCTAATCACAATATTCTCAGTAATTAAGGTTTTGATTTTAAATTTGTCTAAAGCTGCCTAAAGAGATGTTCTGATTACCAGCTGAGCCTCAGATACAAACAATTTGAGATTTTCCCTTGCTTTCTGGGGGAAATCTGTCAGCAAGTTTCAAGATTTGATGCTAGTTCAAGTGATTTGGCCATGTGACAAAGATTTCTAATTCATTACTTCTGTTCATAGGCTTACACAGGAGACTAAAATTTTCTACAGAGCAAATCCGAATGGTTTATTTTCCAGCATGTCAGTCTTTGTATTTTCTCTTGGGTTCTGCAACCCCTAGCAAGGTAGGAAGAGAAAAGTAAATGGACAGTTTACTCTAGGAGATGGTATTTAGTACGATGTAGCTGTCACGTTACAGATTGACACTGGCTTAGTAATTAACTCCTTCCCACATACAATAAGTTTTCTTTTATAACTAGCACTGGGCAATCAGGTTTGCAGATATGAAATATACTTACAAAATACACCTATGAATTAACCTGCATTTCTTATCTCCTCCAAATTTCAAAGCAATTCAGTCAAAAACTGGAAAAATCTTGAATACTCACTTTTCTAAATAACGTTGACCCTAGATGAAAGGAAAGGGTTTTAAAAAACAATTAGTGTAACCTAACCTTCCATGAGAGAATACTATTACTTCTGTATTTTACACTTTGAAGTGCATTAGCATTTTGAAGTAGAACCTGCAGAGAAGCCCCTTGAGAAAATAAAACAAAAAGTGGTTATCATTAAAAGGCACTGACTGCCGAGGGAGTTGGTCATCTTGCACTACAAGACTACGGAGTTCATCTGTAAGTATCATTCACCAGGAAAAGAGGCAAGAGCCAAAAGCAAGAAGCGTACTTACTCCTCAAACTGACAAATGTCACTTGTTCTTACTTGAGTGTTTGTGATCATCACGTCTTGAATACAGCTTCCAAATCTTTATTTTTAGAAGAAACATCTTATTGGGATGCATCACGAACTGCATCATAATCAATGATTATGAAATTCTCCCTACTGCAGCAACAATGGTATAGCAACAAAAAGTCCAGTCTGAAAAAGATAAACTACAAACTAATACCAATTACCTCAGGAGAGCAAAAGAGCTATAGAAAGATTAGGAATGGATGGTATGAAAATAGGTTTTATCAAGAAAATTACTTGGTACTCAACACTGGTTTAAAACTAATATTATACTATTTGGTATTCAAATATATTATATTATATCATTCAAATATATTAAACTATTCAATATTCAACACTAACTGTAGTATTATCTCATGAAATCATCAATGGTCAAGTACTCCGTGCTCCAAAAATATCAGAAAACAGACAACTTTGAAGAGGGAATGGGTATTAAAGCGCTGACTGGTTCAGTGTGTGGCTTTTAATGTGTACAAATTTCTAGCTGATTTGCCATACAGAACTTGTTCCTCTATGCTTTTCCCCAAAGACAAAACTCCTGAAACTCACACTGCCTATTCTCCTTTGAACAGCTACCATCCCCACCCCCCCAAACCAACAAAACAAACAAACAAACAAAAGAACCAAAAAACCTGTGGGGAGAGTGGGGGAAATCAGTCCAAAGATACCGCTTCCCCAGACAGTAAACCTGCCCAAGCTATCTAGAGAGATGACTCCCCACAGGAGAGGACAGATTCTGAAGCACAGTGCAGGGAGGTCACGGGCACTAAACGTAACAGCCATCTGGACACAGTCCTAGGCAACCTGTTCTAGGTGACCCTAGGGGTGTTAGACAAAAGGTGTTGAGGAGGGGTGTTAGACAAGAGAACCTCCAGAGGTCTCTTCCAACCTCCACCATTTTGTGATTCTGTAACAGACCTTTCACAAACTCCAAGACCTACGTGAACGTTGGACAGGTAGGTCGGAATACGTTGTGGTGACCAACAACACTGCAGAGAATGTGCTTATCCTAGCAGGCAGCTGAGAGTAACAAAGGACATGGTGCATGCACATGTATTACACTGGCTGGTGGTGCGTAAGTGTCTGCCCTGCCGATAGCATAGAAACAGAATGTCTTTGGTTGCTGGACATATCTTCAGTGGGACCTAATATAAAAAGCATTCAAAAAATGAAGGCTGCACAGCTCCAACAAAAATCCACTGTTAGTCACACCCTGGAAAATGGCTACCATACCAGATATGGAATTCACTGATCCACTTCGGTTTCTGTTCAGGCTAGTATGAACAGGAAGGACAGGGAACAGAAAGAGTGGGAGGGGGGGGGGATTGACATGTGGGCCAAGAAACACACAGCAATTTCCAGAAATCTGAAGTAATCTTTACTCTTCTAAGTGCTTTCTACAAAAGGGCCTGCAAATGAAATGTTTACAGAGGAATGGGTCTCTTCAGAAGAAAAAAATAAGGGCTCAGATGCAGGGGTTTTTTTCTTTCTTTTTACACTACTGCAGCTGTTTGCAAGTATGGCTATTGCTAACACAACTAAGTGTGCTTTTCCACACAGCAAAGCCGCCTGCAAAGTGTCATTGTTAATGACTACCTTAAATATACATACGCTCACTACTAACAGTGAGATGTTATTTCTGGACCATTAAGCTTGGGACCTCAATCTATACTTATAAGCTTTCTGAAGAATAGGCGCCTAAATGTTTTAGCTTATGATATCTATGAGCATAAATGAACCAGAACTAACATTTTTAGTCAGAAAAATTACATAACCTAATTCCTGATGAACTACCCCAACCTAGAATTAGCATTCCTAAAACAAAGAGGGAGCAGCAATAAACTTAAGTTCTGCCCATAAATGAAGGTAAGAATTGTATTATTGATAAAAATACAATGTCTTTTAAAAATTATGTTTAAATAGGAAAAAAGCTGAATGAACTTTTAAGTACTCATTTTTTTTAAAGTATCAGTACTTCTCTTCAGAATTGATAGCTTAAGAATTCATTTGTTGCAAACTAAATGTTAGTATATTCCACATAGTGAAGATTTACTTTGTTACACATGTAACACACAGCCAAAAAGTGGTAGCATTCAGGAGTTGATCTAATAGTCTTCTCTTATGAAAACCAGGTGAGGTTTGCAAATTCTTAAAGGGAGGCAATATTTTCACTAAATCTCCTGCCCCAGGATATCTTTTTTTTTTTTTTTTTAAACAATACAGTATAACATGTAAAAATTTGACCACTAGTAATAGTCACAAACAAAGCTATGTAATTAAGATTGTTCACATATTGGCAACCATACAGTTTGCTTCAAAATATAGCACCTACACCTACACAATTTGGTATGTTGGGTAAAGCATGCTGAAATTTTAATACTCAGAAATTTTAATGTCTCCTACCACCCCCCAGTTATAGGAAATCTGTATTTCAAAATCCTGTACAAAAATATCAACTCTACAAGTTCTATTTCCCATTTACAGTTTAAAACCCTGCAACAGTAAGACTTGTTTCTATGTTAAATGACCCCTCAGCTAAGAGGTAGAAGGAATTTAAGACAAACTATAATGTTTTAAAAAAAGAAACCTTCGTAAATCAACCATTTAAAACAATATCACCCTCTTACTTCTACAGAACCTAGACAACCAAAAACTCTCATAGGTTAGAATATATCTTTGCTCAAAAGCTGGCAATCTAAACATCCAAAATAGCTATAGCTAGAGTAAGAGAAAGGGTAGCGACAGTATTACAGCAGATTATGAAAACAAGAGGCATCAAATGAAGTTTGAAAGCAACAGAGTCATAACCTCTGGGAAGTCTGAGATTTTTAACTGGGTAGACATTAGCTTTCTATTTTAATTGTTACATGCTACACATGTATGAACAGAATGTATTATGTGGCTGATCAGTTAAGGAAAAGAGGTTTTCTCAAGAAAGAACCAAAAGAAATAATACTTATGGGAACAAAGAGGAAAAGAGTACTGTTAAGTGCACATTTCAAAACTGCAGTGGAGATGCTGGTGCAACTTCAGCAGTATTAACCAGAGGTGGAGGAAAATAGCTAGAAAACAAACCTGCAAAAATAAATTACTTCCAGGAGTTACCACCAGAGCAACTTGACATTCAGGATGGCTCTATCCTGAAAAATGTAGTTTCCCTATTTACATAGGCAGAGCATGTGTATTACAGGACAGGGCAAGAGCAGCCCTAATTACATTGCAACTCCACCTGAACACAAAACAAATTCAGAAACATAGTGCTCCTTGGTTCACTCAGACAGAATTCACTGCAAGAAATACATTAAATACTTTTTCCAGTCCACACTACTTGCACAAATCACTACTTCAGTATTTCAAGACAAGAAAGTTATTAAGAACACCTTTAAGGTTAACAGCTCTTCCTTAGAAAAATACATTTAACTTCAATTTTTACTTTTGCCTTGTGAACCACGACACAATTAGAAGTTAGTTATTACTGAAGAATACTTTACAATTGCTAGTTAGACTCCCAATTGCACCATTATGGAGCATGCACATTTAACTTCTTCAGGGTCAGTTGTGTTATTTACTAAGTCTGTAAAAAACACCAGATAATGAAAAAGCATATAGTAGGAACAGAACAAATAAGAATAAGAGAGACAGGAGCTTACTCTCTGTTAGGAAATAAAACTATGCATCTGAAACTACACTACCTTTCAAGAGCTTACCTTCTTTTTGTCCCTCATTGAGCCCTTCCCTCGGACCATTATCTTGCATCCTGTTTCTGCCTCAAGCTGTTTAGCTGTTAGTCCTCTGGGCCCAAGGATTCTTCCAACAAAGTTAAACTGGGGAAAAAAAAAAAAAAAGATTACGTCTATAAAAGCAAGTAAACAAAATTAATTTAAAATTTAACAAGATGTATTTCTGTCTCTAAAGATATCATCAAGTGTTTATTGGTTTAGAACACTACACTAAATACCTGAGGTTAAAGAATGGGGTAAGTACTATTTTCATACATTAGATACCTATGTGACCTCTATGTTGGGAGATACAGGTTTCAGGTGAAAACAGGTTTTTAAATTTAACATCTGGTAGTCAATGGCAGCGGCAGTCCTAATTTCCTCCTCATTAAGTCCTATGAGCTCTTACAGAAACTACAAACCACCCTCCCTCACCACTAACATGACCAGACATGCTCACCAGTAGGCCAACAATGTGCATCACATCATGGAAACAAACAGGTTCTGGTTGGTGACCAGACATGCACAGAACTTCCCTGTGGTGGGACTGATCGGGTGCCCGGTGTAGGTCCAGTCCCATAATGGCACCTTCCTTCAGGAAAGGCCCCTAGGCCCACTATTCATTTGCTCCCTGCCTACCGCTAAGGAGCCTGCGGAAAATACTGTTTTTCACCCTTGCGTGCTGTTCTGGTAGGCTCGATCTGGACAGCACACTGCTGGCTGGCCACCCACATCTACAGAAACTCTTCTTTATCTACCCGTGCCATAGCATTTCCTTCAGAAAAAAACCTGAGGCTTGTTACGTATTCACTTTAGGTTTCATTTCTGGAAAACATTGTGTTTGCCATATATGTGTAATGTGTGTGTGTACACATATATGCGTATGCACAGACACATGACAAAGGCACGTGTCATTTTTCCTAAGTCGTATCCTTTACTCAGTTGTGCATACAAATAGAGTAAGTATTCCACTTTCAGTTGGCTAACTTCAATATCAGCAGACAACCCCCTGCCTACGCTTAACACAGTAATACTGCCATTTAGCCATACATTCTTTCCTAGTTATTTTCCAGGGTTTTTTCCCTGTCATTATTTTCAATCACACATTCTGGAAATTATGACATAAATAATAAAAGCACTGAGTGAAGGTAGCATTAAGAACATACAGCAGTACTTTGTGACAACTACAGTGCAAAGATGAAACACCAGGCTCAAAGGATGCATAAACCTAGAAATTTCAGACTGAAGATTAAATTCGGAGAAGATATTAAGAGAACAGAAACTCTGCAGTACGGACAGAAATCTGGGTATTTTAGATCCTGGTAAACAAAGCTATTCAATGGAATTATGAAGAAGTTGTTGGCTTTCATTTCCTCAGCTAATTAAAATTGGTTTTGAGTACTCAACATATTTGAAATCCTTATAAAACTGCAAAGACTAAAAATGATTTAGGAGTGAGCAGAAATTACGAACACAAGCAAATTAAAGTTCTTCAACAAAAATAATAGTGTTTCACAATGGCTAAACTGTTCATAGGGAAGGTACACTCCCAAAATTATTTAGTATGCCAAGCTCAAAAAATAAAGACATATTATGAAGTCTGAACCAACTGTCGGGGGAAAAATATAAAGATTAAAGGCACTTGTGAACGCATACATGAACTGCGAATCATAGGAAATTAAGGAAGATTCACTAAGACTGGATAAAGCAATGAACCAGCTACAAGCAATAAAGTTCATCCTTGAAATATTATCAAAATCCTGCATTTGTTACACATTTCACGCTTAACACCAAAATCATACCACTATCTTACATAAACAGCATCTTACTTGCCTTTCTCCACACTTCCTGCACACTAAATCTTTAGATATCTATCCCATTCCACTGGTAAAGCTAAAGTAATATTGCAAACCTGACTTCTAACCAACACACAAGGTGACTATCATTACATTCTCTATCTCCCAAGAAAACCAGCAGCCTCTAATATTTTATTAACTTGGATAATGATTAAAATAATCATCGAATTCTGAGATAAGATGATTTAGATAGAAAATTTAAATAGAACAATTTACGATACTAAGAAAAAAAGCAGGAATTTGTATTACTCTCAAGCTTGCAACTTTATTCATGTTGTCTGAACACTATTTAGAATCGTGGCTTCTAGTTGAGAAATTGCCGACTTAAACTGCAACACATTCTGTTAAATGTTAAGCCAGTTTCTTTTCTAGCTACTCCCAGAAGATGCTTCTTATAAAGAGCCTTCATAAATTGTTCCAAGGCAGCTCAACCCCCATCTTTTCTTCCAAACTGTATGTGTTAGCACCTTGAACCTTTTGGGATAGGTATTCTTTCTAAAACTCTGACCATTCTTGTTACCTCTCCTGGGCCCTCCAGTTTGTTCATTTCTTAAAGCAGGATGCCTGGACAAGGCACATTCCTGTTAACACATCCCAGCTGCTTCTTTCCCTCTCCAAAAAATTCACTTCTTATGTTTGGTTCAACATTCGTTGACCCCAGGTACTCTTCTCCATTACCTCTGCCTTGCCAGTTTTCCCCAGTTTTGTAGTCATATGCAATTTCTATGCCCCCCTACAACAGCGTATTGCTCTGCATTTGTGTAATGAATTCCACGTTGTTGACTTCAGGCACAGTAATTTCAAGAGTTTTGAATTTTAATTCCATCTTTAAAAGCATTTGGTATGACTTAATTGTTTTCTAAGTATACTTTCTATCCCACCAACCAAGTTATTCTTGCATGCGTTAGAGATCCAAGCTGAAGGAGAGTTCTGCAGGACCCTACCTGAGGTGCAGTCTTAACTGAGTCATCAGTAATCAATTATAGCTTAAGCCAATTATTGCTGTAACAAATTATTCCCAAGCTTTCGTACCAATGGATCACTGTCAGTATTCAGTTCCTCAGACTACCGTCTCAAAGTCCTAGCTGAGAACTCCATAGGGAAAAACAATTCTGACTCTCTTGTGAAGGGACTAGGTAGAGAGAGTAGTGACCCGCAGACCACAACTCAGGAACACAGCATAGACTAGGTCTTCTAGTTGGACAGTCTCAAAAGTTTTATCAGAATGCAGTTGTATCAGCAGCTACTACTTCTCTTACCTGCCAGGCCAGCTAGATCATCAAACAATTATTGGAACCAGATACATCTGACAAATTCAAAAGACCATCTTTATCACATTTAACTCAAGATTTCTCATGCTCTGTGTCCCATACTCTCACCCAATCACACTCTTCATTGCCTTGAGCTTGTTCAAACATTTGTAGAGAGTCAAAGCTAGGAATATTTCCCTATAATTTCTTACAGCTTTTCTCACTCTGCACTTGTCTAATCCTCTAGGATTCACTTTACCCCCAGTGAATTCCTAGAAAATAAACAGCAGTGGTTCACAAATCAGTTTGACCAATTTAAGACTGCATTACTTTGAATGTATCCAACCTCACACATGCTGGAATTAGAGAATACGTTAAAAATTAAGCAGAAGTGACCCATGCTTAAGATTAACTTCTACATCAACAATACAGAAAAAGCAATCAAATACTTCATTTTCCTTCATCAAATTAGTCTCTCCTTCCCCAACAATTAATGTATCTCTATACTCAACATATTTTTATATACCTAACATTTTCATTCGTGGTATTTCACAATTATTTTCCTGTGTTTTTAAAAGATCTGAACTAACTTTTATTTTTGTGTTCTCAAATCTTCCTATACAAACTCAAAATTAGAATTCAAGAAACAACATCCAGAAGAATGTGTTTGTGACATACACAAACACACAAGCATCCTACGCACCACCTAGAATCCTTTACATTTTAGGAACAATGGAGAGAGCCAGGAAGTATACAACACTAACAATATTAATAAAAAGCCAAGAGTTGAGTATCTAGTGGAGCTCAGGTGCTGAAGGTTTGGGGGTTTTTGCTGAAGTTCAACCAGTTACACCATGTTGCTCTCCCTCTCTGCCTGTTTTGCTGCGTCATGACTCCCATTCCCATAGCTTGCTAATCTTACAAGGTTGAAGTTTCTGGCACGTACAAAATACACATCAGCAAGATCCTGTAGCAAGACATTTGTTGCCTTTCTTTGAGAAGATGCCCAAAATGCACACTCTTAAGAAAACAGACAGCCAGCATATGTTGGGAGACTCTGTACACGAGGACCTTTGTTACGGAAGATGTTTAAGCAGAAACAAACGTATTAGGAAAAAAGTTGCTCTATATCCTAATGTTTACACCTACTCTGGGATATTCTCCCAAGAGCTGACAAAATTTCTGTCTAGCATCATACCTAACAAGTCCACTGCATCAGAAATTCCTTCATAAAAACAGCTTACATTCGCTATGCATAGAACAACTATTTCCCAAGCAGACCAGGTGCTTTTACAGTCCTTCTATGTCTCACCAGCCCCTATATCCACAACAAAAGTAGTAAAGGAAAATAAGAACGAACTATGCTAAAGACTTAATAAGAGGTTGCAAAGAGCTGTGTTTGATTTTTACAGTGTATGGGAAATGCAGTGTTCAAGAAACTTTCCATGCAAGTTAAAATCTGAGGAACTTGAGGGAGTCCAGTAGTACTAAATTTCATACTATTATTGTGCCTTTTGTATTTTGTGTTTTCCTTTGAAAACCTCAAGTAAGACATGGCAAGAGCTAATTTATCTGATGAAAAAAAATTCTTCCCTCCATTACTGGAGAAGAACTTGAAAAAATCTGATCTGATTAAAATATCCAAATCTAGCAAGAAAGAATGTAAGCAGATGTAAGAAAGACAGAAAACTGTACCTTATATTCACACTCCCCAGATCCAAATCAGCTTTCAGATTGTATACTAATACATTAAACAAACTAAAGCATCACAAAAACGTGGTTCAAAATGTCCTGGTGTTTTAGTTTGCTTTTTGAAGACATGGAGAACAGCATTTCATGCTCACTTCATTTTTATATGCTTTTCCCCACCAAATAAAAAGCAGCTGAAGACCAAGACTCTGCATGGTTCACTGGTTAAAATATGTCAAAGTTACGAAGCGACTGAAAACTGGATGTTATAACAGAGAACACCTGGTAATTTCAGCTTAAGCAGCAATGC